AGTTTCTTGGTGGTTGTTGGACATGGAGTTGGTTTATGCTACTAGGTTAGCTAAACAACGACATGTAATATTGTATTTGTTAATTTGATTGTGTAGATAAGAGATTTTATAACAACAATTTTGGTTAATCTATTATTGCCATTTCATTGCTTTAGAGTACTGGAATATTGGTGCTTGCAATTATGATATTTTATTTTTTGTTGTTATGGTTTAACGCCAATATTTAATATGTGTTCGCCATATAATTCGTTCTCCTTACTTTTTTTTGCGCGAGTTGGTTTTGGTTGTTGTCTGTTTTTTATTGGAAAATATTTTCCTAAGCTTGTTCTGTTTGTAGGTCCACATCACGATCTATGTTAAAAGTCTTTGGATAACAAATATATATTAAATTGATGAGTCTCTACATTTTGGAATTTTAAATGTTTTGAATTTTAGGCTTCACAGTTCAAGTGAATATGTTTGTCAAGTAGATATAGCCTTGACTTGAAGCCTCAAAAACTTCACACAGTCCAGTCTCTCATCAAGCATAACAGTCCTATCAGTCTCTCATCAAGCATAACAGTCCTATCAGTCTGCATAAACAAAGGAAAAATATGTTGCAAAAACAAAGGTTATATTTATTTTTGAAAGAATTTACTTATTTAACTTTGCCGATTGTTGTCATTTACCTGCCTGAAAATTAAATCAACTTTTCAGAAAAAAAAAAAACATGAAAAATGAAAAATCAATAAAAGGAAGGAAAATCAAAAGGGACATGATATTATTATTGCCCATATCCATTGGCGAACGTCTTTCTCTGGCCAGAAATCGAGCATCTCTTTAACAAGCAAGGGAAACATGTGGCCCTCATAGCAGGTGTCATTATTCTTGCTCAATCGACTCATCTATCTCCCAACCTCCCTGAATTTGAATTCAAAATCGAGTTAATAAGAATAAGTCAATCGAAATAAATTCGGACGAAAAAAAGCTAGGAATAAATTGCTAGTTGAATATCAACTATATAGATAATATATATACCTTTGGAAACAACATTCCTTTTCCTTTCCTATGTAAAGTGATAACAAGAACTTCAATGTCGTCCTCATCCACTATGGATTGTGTCCCAAGCGTATTTTTGGATCTATATGGGATGCATCTGTATAAACAAACAAGCATATATACTCGGTCACCTCAAAATTTCCCGAAAAACTGAAATTAAATTTTTAGAATTAAAATCCAGGATACGTAAGTCGAGCTACATTATTGCTAGGATGTTTATAGATTGAGCTGTCGAAAATACACACAAGTAAAAAAGCACTAATTGGCCCCCACTAAGTAAAAACAAGAACAAAATTATGGAGATAAACATGAAATTTATCTTTAATTATGGGTTTTCTAGAGAGAGAGAAACGAACCCAACAACTTGACGATGGCCATGAAAGTTGTAACGCTGCATATGTCGTCCAGTACGAGAAACGAGGGCAACCATATTCTTCAATTCCATCTCTTTAGTAATTTTTAAGGTTAAACTGATAAATATTAAATGAAAATTGTTTTTTCTTAAAGAACAAAAAAGATAAGAGAAAAGTTAGTAGAGATTGTTTAAGAACTGAGAATAAAAGTTCTCACACAAGTAGACATGGCCATGGGTCAACCGGCCCGCCAACCCGGCCCGGACCCAACACGGACCCGGCCCGGTCAAACCTGTTGACCACGGGTCTGGGACCGGCCCGGATTTCATACGGGCCGTGTAAGGATCATCCATTTCATGAACCGGGCCAGCGGATCGGGGCCGGGCCGAGTCGATAACCCTCCTATCCTATTTTTTTTTTTATTTTTTTCTATTTTTTTTCAAAAAAGCCCGGACCCGGCCCGGATACGACCCGGCTCGAACACGGACTCGGCACAAGTATAGGTCTGTGCCAGTTCAGGGTCAGTGTTTTCGAGCCCGTCGACCCGGCCCGAGTTTTGGCCATGTCTACACACAAGTTGTTTGTTGTACACACTTCGTTTTCGGGCGTTATTAAAGATGGGGAAATCAGGGGCGGATCTAGAAAATAAAGTTAAGGGGGGCTAGAACAGTTAATGAACCGAATTATGTTCGTATTGTTCGTGAAAACTTAAGTTCACCTCGCTAATGTAGTCAAATTATAACAATTATTCGAGCTTATTTTTATAATGAGTTGAGACAGACTGGACTTATTATATGGGCCGATCAAGTTTACATTTCTGTTTGGTTATTAAATGGTTTAGCCAAGTCACCTCATTTATTAAATGAGCACGAGCTTGAATATGAGGTATTTGACTTGACTCGGGTGGAATGATATCTCTAGAGGACTGTATGATTTTTAATATCTCTCTTTCTCTCATTTATTTTAATGTAATTTTATTGTTTAAAAAATTTTGCAGAGATTAAGTATAAACATAAATGAATATAAGCAAAATTCTACAGACTTATGTCTCTACTTAACAAGATATACAAAAAATTGAATGTCATTATAATATTAAAATAAAATATATAAGTAAATATCATATTTGAAAATAATAAAATTATTAATTATAATTCATAAAAATGTGTCTCATCTAGTAAATACTCTATAAGTTATTTGTTATACAATTGTTTTTATAATTTCACCATAAGAATATTGATAATTTTATGTACTTATATTTTAATTATAAAAATATTTTTCAAGCACCCGTATAGTATACGTGTTTCATACTAATATATATCATAAGAGATTGTAGAAAAATACTGACAAAAATATGTAGTTAAGATTAGTTAGTTAACAGAAGAATACAATACTTTGTAATAATTATAGACATGAATATAACTTATAAGTTGAATATATATATTTTAATAATATATATATATATATATATATATAATATAGGAATTGGTTCAAATGCGGCTGCTTTTTTAAAGTGAGAACGTGAGACTTATTTTTAGCCACAAGATTTGGTACATCATGTGTGGCCAAGATTTACTATTTTCTTTTTATTATTTTAATTATTTAAATATTATTTTGACCCGTTGACTCTGGCGTTGACCGTTGACTTCCGTCGAAAATCCGTTGACTTCTAGCGTTGACCGTTGACAACTAACCTTCCAACTAGCTAGGTTAGTTCTCTGTAGTTGCTAGGTTAGTTTTCTGTAATTGCTAGGTTAGTTCTATGTAGTTGCTAGGTTAGTTCTCTGTAGTTGCTAGGTTAGTTTATCTTGTTGCTAAGTTAGTTTTAAGTAGTTACTAGGTTAGTTGTCTCTTGTTGCTAGGTTAATTCTCTGTAGTTGCTAGGTTAGTAGTTGTTAGGTTAGTCGTCTGATGTTGTTAGGTTAGTTGTGTCTAGTTGCTAGGTTAGTTGTCTGATGTTGGTAGGTTAGTTATGTCTAGTTGCTTGGTTAGTTGTCTGTTGTTGGTAGGTTATTTTTATCTTGTTGTTAGGTTAGTTATGTCTAGTTGCTAGGTTAGTTCTATCTTGTTGCTAACTTAGTTCTAAGTAGTTGCTAGGTTAGTTTTTTGTTGTTGTTAGGTTAGTTTTCTGTTGTTGCTAGGTTAGTTCTCTGTAATTGCTAAGTTAGTAGTTGCTATACTAGTTCTCTGTAGTTGCTAGGTTAGTACTAGCTAGCTTAGTTCTCTGTAGTTGCTAGGTTAGTTGTCTGTAGTTGCTAAGAGCTGGTCCCATTTTAAGAGCTGGTCCCATTTGATTCGTCCCATATATATATATATATATATATATATATATATGATATAGCCATATAAAGATATACCGGCTCAAAGGCTCTCTACTCGACCGGATAAGTGGCTCAAACCGTTCGCATGACGAAATGAACCCGTAGACATACTCAAGTCGACTTCCTCAAAGTCGACTCTTCACAAGATGGATAACGAGAAGTGTAAGATATCATAAAAATCGACTTGAAGAAGTCGACTTAATGTAGTCGACTCCCAGATAGTCGACTTCTATTTAAGAAGACCAACAAGCGTAGCCTCCAAATATGCAAAACATCCTAAGTCGACCTCTTGATACTCGGGGTCGACTCCTTGTGCCTCGAGGCGCGAAACACACTGACGACTCGATATACCTGTGGAATCTCTTAAAATCTCTTATCCTCCAAAGGATAAGAAGGAATCTTGTCATGACTCAGCAGTAAGGGGAGACGAATCGACCAGGGCAATTTAGACCTTTCAGGTCCACCGACTGGGGCATTCCGGGTACTTCAAGTAAGTATTCCCTCCTATATAAAGGAGATGAGGTAACCCTAAACCCTAACTCTCATTCATTCATTCTCCACTCTACCTCATTGCTGCTGCGCATCCTCTCTTCATCACTCTCATACTGACTTGAGCGTCGGAAGCTCTACGCCGGAAACACCTCCGGCGTTGTTCTCTACAAGTAATTGGTTCTCATAAATAAATATTCTATATTATCATAATATGGACCATAAATTTTGATAATGTTTTCATAGTAATAAAGTTCACAGATGACTAACTAATAGATTCCAAATTCTTCTCATCTGAAATATTTTCACAAATGATATGCTTCTCAATATTGTCTCATTGTTTTATTTTGTTGTGTTATTATTGAAGAATCAAGAAAGAATCTTCATCTTGAATTTTCGAAATATTATGTATGATGCAAAAAGTTAGACAATAAATGCATTAAATACGTTATTAGACACATAAATATTTCAAATCCGAACGATGCGAAAGGTATTATGATAAGAAACTCTAAAATTATTACAACAACTAAAATGTTCAATGATTTGTAAATAATATGTTATGTAGTCAGTCTATCTTCCAAAGAAATAACACCGAAAAGGGAATGTTTGATTCTGACCAATACATTATTGAATGTTTGGATAAGTTGTCACTTTTTTATAGTAGGAATATTTAGAATATTAATTGTGTATTGTGTTTGATCATAAGAAAATTACTTTAGAATACGTACATTCATGTAATATGTAATGATTTCAAAAAATAATTGAGCATTTTCGGAGAAGTACATGATTTTGAAAAAAGTCAACTTTTATTTAGAGATAAATTTCGTCCTCAGTATCCAATGGGGTAGGTACTAATTTATTTATATGGAGAGAGAGAGAGAGAGAGAGAGAGAGAGAGAGTGAGTACTGTAGTAGTTTACACAATGATTAAAAAATTATCAAGAATTTTAGTGACTTATTTTACATATATATTTTGGAAGTATTAGTAGAAAGACCTTATAATAATCACACAATGATGAAGTTTGACTATATATTTGGCTAAAATATTTCTAAGAGTTGAATAAAGCAGACATTTTGCCAAATTAATTAAGAAAAATTTTGCAACATTATTGGTGTATTGAGCTCCACCGAGTATGAATGTTTTTTATGAGAACGTCAAAACTAAAATGAAATCACTCTTGAATCTAACATGAATAAATAAAAGTACCCATGCATCTATAATATACATTAGGTTCTTATTTAGTTATTTAATGTTTTCTTTTATTATGTACTCATTTTTCATATATATTTTTGTTGAGGTTGTAATATGTTATTTAAACATTTTTATGTTACGACATACTAATATTATTTTTGAAAAAAAATGCATTATGAGCGCTTATTTGTTCTACGTTTTATTTTTCCTACAATCATATGTTAACTAATTTATTTTACTCGACTTAATCGGACAAAAACATTCGCCATTGCACGTGCACTTTAATAGTACCGTCTAAAAGTCTAGGTAACCCGTCTTCGAAGACCCAGGACAACTACCAGAGGAAGCATAAGAAGTACCACATGAACCATCCACAGGGGCTTGGTTTATTGCAATACCTCTCAAGTCTAGCAACTGTATCTTTTAAACTGTATTGTATTGCCTTCTGAAGAATCCTTGTACCGTACCTTCTTATTTATCTATTTAATTATTTTTGCTTTTGTAGGAATGGGAAATACTTTCTTGAAAGAAAGGAATGAGTAAAAACAATAATAGGATTTCAGGTAGGAAAAAAAAAACTTATATTGGTAGCATGATTATCTAATCTGATAAGGAATGACCTATCTCTTTAATTATAAAAAAATATTAAAGTGATTTTCAAATAATTTCCTAAATTAGTAAGTAAAATCATTTATTTATATAGTCAAACTTTCTATTTCAGTATTTTTTCAACAGCCTTTTTATATTAGTATAGATTGCTTTTATTTTTAACAATTTATACTATAAAATATCATATTTCTTATAAGAATATACATGCTGTGAAATCTCATAATTTTAACTATAGTTCAGGATTTGAGCGAATTATTTGGCTTATTCCTTGTTTATTTTGCCCATTAGCACTCCATATATAACTTATCAGACTTTAGTTGAGGATTTGAAGTTGAACAAATTATTTGGCCGGTTCCTTGTTCATGATTTTGGCCATTATCATTCCAAGAACGATTAGTTTATGACAAGTTGGTGTAATCTAATCTAATAACAATGTCCACTTCAAATTTAATTAAGGACGTATGGGTCTTGTTTTTTTATTCCAGCAACAACTGGTTTTATACATTGTATTATGTATAGCGACAAAAAATATCAACGTCAGTCTGAAACTAGAGTAAAATACTAAAATATGAAATGTTGTTTCTTGAAATGTCTAGACACTGCAAAACTACACAGTACTCACTCCTCAAATCATACATAAATACGCGCACACAGATTGGCAAGAATAGTATAATCAGAAACCGTTTGATAACTAAGCAAAAGCCCAAATAAAAATTTCAGCTGTTAATTAAATAGTCTCATCAATGGCGGCGTCGCTAGAAACAGAGCATCCAGTGAAGGCTCTTGCTTGGGCTGCTAAGGATCCATCTGGGGTTTTCGCTCCTCTCAGCTTCTCTAGAAGGTTTTTGTTTTTATTTATCTGTTTATTTGTTTTTGTCGTGATTTCAATTGGCAATTGTGTAGTTAATTGTCCAATTATAATTGTTTTTGTGATGGGTGCTTGTTATTTATATGAATTATTGAGAATTCAAAATTAGCCCAACGTATAATTGATGGGTTCAAAATATTCCCAACCACACACTACGCACACTGGAAATAATCAGATTTTGATTAAATAGCATGTAAGAATGATTTTATTAATGTAGGATTCGTTTCAATCTCCTCCCCTGCTTCAGAATGTTTGAGTCAACGAAGTAGTATCAAAACCAAAATTTGAAACTTTGCATTAAAATAATAATGATAACTCTTCAAATTTATGATTATTGATTTCAGTTTCACAAATTGTTGTACGAGGCAGCTTATTCTTTTAACAAAAAAATAAAAAATAAAAAATTACCTATACTATATATGTTGAAAAAAGTAAAATTGTTTAACCAGTGATATGATAATGTTAGTCATTTAGGCCTTATAAAGTTTGTTGTAAACTAATATATTGCAGGGCAACTGGTGAGCATGATGTGCAGTTCAAAGTGTTGTACTGTGGCATTTGCCATTCAGACCTTCACTTGGCCAAGAACGAGTGGGGAAGCACTATTTACCCTTTGATTCCAGGGTAATAATGTTCAATCTTTCAATTCCTCCTTTATTTGTACAAATATTTATTTATTCTGTTGGCTTTTTAGTCATGAAATTGTGGGGGTCGTAACCGAAGTCGGGCCCAAGGTCAAAAAAGTCAAAGTCGGTGACAATGTCGGGGTCGGTTGTCTCGTGGGTTCGTGCCGCACGTGCGGTGAGTGCGCGAAAAACGAGGAGAGCTACTGCCCGAAACAAGTGCTCTCGATCAACGCGCGCTATTACGACGGCACGGTAACCTACGGTGGCTTCTCAAACCTCATGGTGGTTGACGAGAATTTCGCCATCCACTGGCCGGAGGGCCTGCCGCTCGACGCTGGTGCTCCGCTCCTCTGTGCCGGAATCACGACCTACAGCCCGTTGAAGAGGTTCGGGCTTGACCGGCCCGGAGCAAGTGTTGGCGTAGTCGGGCTTGGCGGAATCGGGCATTTGACGGTGAAGTTTGCAAAGGCGTTGGGGAGTAAAGTGACGGTCATAAGCACGTCGTTGAGCAAGAAGAAAGAGGCAATTGAGACTTTTGGGGCCGACGAGTTCTTGGTTAGCCATGATCAAGATCAGATGCAGGTATTTTTTTTCAATTTTTTTTTTTAATTTGAATTTTGACTCTTGGTGACATTTTTATGTTGTCTTACTAATGTTAAGGCTATATTTGGTAAAACTAGCTGATAAGCTAGCTTATCAGTAATTTTTTAGCTTATAACTTATAGCTTATGAGTTATAGCTGAAAAAATAGCTTATATGATAAAAGTGTTTGGTAAAATTAGCTGATAAGCTAGCTAGAATAAAATTTTCAACCAGCTTATTTGAAAAGCTATCCAAAGAAGCTTATCAAATAAGCTCGAGCTTTTTAAAAAGAGCTCGTCCTAACAAGCGGAGCTTATTTGAAAACAGGGAGCGAATAAGCTAACCAAATAAGATATAAGCTAGCTTATTTGTCTACCAAATATAGCCTAAGCCTCAATTTAAGCAAAGTAGGCTCGATTTGGCCGGTGGTACTAATCCTACTTGGCTAGAGACAAGTAGGCTCGATTTTTATTATTAATTTTGCTCATGTTCATCGCGAATTATATGTATTGCCAAAGTTCATCTCGAGTTATATGTAATCCTACTTGGCCGTTGCACATGTATAGGCGGCTGCAGGTACACTGGACGGAATCATAGACACTGTCTCGGCAAACCACTCTCTATTACCGTTAGTCAACCTCTTAAAACCTCACGGCAAGCTCATCTTGGTCGGTATACCGTCTAAACTCGAGGTCCCTATTTTCCCCCTACTTTTAGGTATATGCACAACCATCTCATTAACTTCTCACTAAATGTACACTCATTCATTTTGTATTGGATTTTGGGATGATTGATTGTTTTTTTTTTTTCTTCGTGACAATAGGTGGGAAGGCTATAGTAGGGACTGCTAGTGGGGGAATAAAAGAAACGGAAGAAATGCTCGATTTTTGCGCCAAGCACAAGATATTGCCGGAAGTCGAGATAGTACCAATGGATTATGTGAACACGGCCATGGAGCGTATCGAGAAAAATGACATCAAGTACCGATTCGTTATCGATGTTGGGAATTCATTGAAGGATTGATTGAGTGCTCCTAATTAAGTAAGATTGTTATTTGTCAAAGTATGCATGCCTATGTGCATGTAGTTGATCTTTATAAGGTTGTTTGTAATTTGAAATTATCTTAAGTGTTTCATGATAAGTAAGTACACTCTTGTGTAATGTTGTATGTGGAGGTCCAATGTGTGTTGAATAAGGGCATCCCTCTCTGTGTGCATGTTGTTGATCCTTATAAGGTTGTAACTTGAATAATCTTAGGGTTTCATGATAAATAGTACTCTTGTGTAATGTTGTATGTGGAGGTCCAATGTGTTGACTTCTAATTGCTATCCAAGGCATATCAAGGGATAGTGTTGATCAATTTGAATATGCTACGTTTCATGCCACTAGCTATATTCCAAGTTACCTGCAAACAATTACAAGAGTCGCGTAAATTGAAACATATTAATGCATTTATTTTGAAATTTGACCTTGATAGTGTTTCGTTGGGGACACCATTTACATGTTACAAACATTACAAATATGGAGACGGTCAAAGTGTATTCTTAATTTGTTGAATGCCATGCTTGTAGTTACATTATAAGCTGACAAAATATAAATTGAAAATAAAAAAGTAACTTAAAAATTCTAGTAACTAGAGAACGATGAAATCGGCAAATACTGTATACAAGGCGAATAAATGGATTTTAGGATGTGTTCTTTCTTAGAAATAATTCACAATATATTTTTTATGTGATTAAATCCTATTTAATATTGCAGCTTGTAAAGATAAATATCTCTCAATTAATTTTCGTCTGTCTATCGCATAGTTTATAATGAATTCACATATTATTTTCGACTGTCTATCGCATAGCTACACTATAAAAAAAATGTTATATTCCAACAAAAATATCTATGTTAATATATTCCAATGAAAATTCCAACGGATATTTCAATGGTATAGCTTTCGTTGGAATGTGTTTTTCATTGAAATTTTAGATGTAATTTGATGATTCCAACGGCTTTTTACCGTAGGAATTTTCGTTGGACTTTTTATTTTCACCCCGTGTTGAAAATCTATCGTAGAAATCGTCAAAATCCAACGAAAATTCCATTGCAAAACTCATTCCAACATAATATTTTTGTTGGAATTTCCGTTGGAATACATTGAAAAATTCTAGCGGAAATAATAGTATTGAAATATCTACTGGAATTGTCATTGGAATTCTATTGAAATATATTTCTGTTGGAATTTCATCATTTTCTTATAGTGCTAGTTATCGCATAATTATTTGGCACTTGTTCAACTAACTTCGTCTAACTGCCGTATAGTTTATAATGATATCGTATATTATTTTCAAATGTCGTCGTATTGTCTATTGCATAATTATTTTGTTTTACTAGCTTGCATAATTATAAGCTATAAACTGTAAACTTAAAAATTACTGATCATCTATAAACTAACTTATCATCTAATTTTATCAAATATAGCCTAAATTTATTAAGATTAAAGTTGTCATTTTATCCACTCGAATGGATATATTATATTTTATTTCCTAACATAGCCTTAATCATTTTTTGTTTTAGAAAATGCTATGTTTATAAAACGAAGTTTCGATGATGATCATTCACTAAGTGGGTATCAAATTTGTTGCTTTTCGAATATTACTAAAATATTCAATGACTAATTTGCAACGGCAATGTTATTTTAGCATTTTCCGTTATTTTATACCAATAGTTAAGGGCGATTGGATTTAGTTTCAACAGTAAAAATATTAATTAAAATTCAAATTTAACTCAACTTTAACCTATCTCCACTATCTCTAATATTATCAATATAATAAAATAATATCAACCAATTATTCTTACACATCACATCAACTTTAACTAGTGCGTGGCCCGTGCGATGCACGGGAAAACAATATTTTGATTGTATTATAAATTAAATAAATAAATAACATTAATCATGATTTACCCATTATTTTTAAATTAAACCGGCTTGGACATAGTCCGACCGGATGGACCGAGAACAGGTTTATAACCAGTATATTGCGCTTGAATAAAATATATGCTATCGAATCCGTCAACATCAGTATGTTGGACTGGTAGGATCGATAGGATTTTCTAAACAAATTTTGTTACATTAAAAATTATTTTAAATAAAATTACATATTTAAATAAAATAGAGATGTATAAATTGTTTATCAATTAGTTTAAATATTTGAATTTATAAATTGTTTAGATATTTAAGTAACACTTTTTATTTAAATTTATTACAAAAAGTACTATATATATATATATATATATATATATTAAAGTATTATGTATTAAAATCTTAACAACCACAAATGATTTAATAAAATAACTTGATCGTTTCAATGACGTTCCGGTTCTGAAAACCTTATATTTATTGTACATTACTAAAAATGATAATAAAATAATTATTTTGTTCACATAAATAATAATAAAATGATATATAAATATTCATAAATTATTAATCATGTTGTCGTAGAAGTATTGTTAATATAATTATTTGAAGTTTGGACTACATAATAAAGTATTTTCAATATTAAAATTTATATTTAGGTTCAATAATCGATTTGGTCTGGTCAAACTGATACATAACTTAGTTACCTGGGACCAACCAAGTTATGTCAAGTTTTTTGACTATTTTAAATATCACCTAAAAGTAATTCAATCAACGTGGGCAATACCCTAATTCAATCACCCGATTGATACAAAAGTAATTTTATTATTTTCTTTAAATATAATATTTAATTTTATGAAATAAAAAAAATTTATGATTCATATGTCTACACCAAATGATAGTATATTAAGATTATCAATTATATATCTAAAGATGCATATATATATATATATAACATGATTGAATTTAAAAAAATCAAGATTAATTGATTGGGTATATATATATATATAACATGATTGAATTTTTGGATTAGAAGATATATATTTAAAATGATTTTATTATTAAAAGTCAAAAAGAAAAAATGTCATAAAAATTACAACTTTGAAAAGTTTGTAACCATTAATTTAGGAACCATCCGATTTTAAATGATTTATAATTTTTGAAACATGATACGTCATCTAAAACCCATTAATTTAGGAATCATCCAATTTTTTGATAATGAATTAACATTAAAATGTAAAATAAAAAATTGCTAAAAATAGTATATAATAAATGTGGGTTGACTTTTCCTTATTACTATTTATGGTAAATGTTAATTCTTATTATATATATAGATTTACTATTCATCCACTCACATAATTTTAACTAACCATCACTTCTAATTATTTTTTTTCCTACTTTACATCAAATCAACTTTATTATTTTATTTAAATATTATTTTAATATATCAACTAACAACTAACCATACCATATTTTTTCAAAATTAACTATAATTAAAAACAAACCAAATAAAAACTAGTTGAATTCATAAACAATCACACCAAGTCCCTAGGTTTGATTTTGTTCAGAATACTTGCGTAAGCCATGATGCGCATGTACGTACAGGCGAATTTCCAATGGCAATTTCATCTCAAAACTGCTATAAATACCTCCATCTCCATCGCTTGTCTTTTTATAGTTAAAGATCTAATTAAAGACCCATTTATTTAGAATTTAATTTGGCTCTCAAATTTTCACTGGAAAATGGCAAAATCATATGAAACAGAGCACCCCGTGAAAGCTTTTGGATGGGCCGCCAGAGATACGTCTGGGGTTTTTTCTCCTTTCAAGTTCTCAAGAAGGTGCGCATATTTCTTAAATCGAGCATACATATGATATTTTTTTATTCATGATTTTCTTTTTCTTCCGTAGTAATTTTTTTTTTTTTTTTTCGGTTATACAGAGAAACTGGTGAACACGACGTGGAGTTCAAAGTTATGGTCAAGAATGAATGGGGATATACTCAGTATCCAATTGTACCTGGATAATTTTAATTATTTTTACATCCCCTCTTTAATATAATTTGAAAACGTGTTAGAGCTTAAATAGTTGCTTCACTTTACTTGGCAACATTACATGCTTCGGTTTTTGGTTCGAATACATTCTCTAATTGTTTAAAAAATAAAATACTTAATAAATAGGATTCTTATATGTCGTGTAAATCCTCAAACTCCAAATTAAATAAGTTTCTTTATCTTATTTGACAACTATCTTGTCGTGTAAACCAAAATAAAAAAATTTAACTTTATATATTATTTTATTTAATGTAAACAATAACTTTTTTATATAGTTTAAATTAAGAAAATATAGCCACTTGCATATTATATTTTTTCAATCCAACCATAAATAAAATATTTAATTTTTTTTAGAATATCTATAAAAATACATGGTATTATATGATCTTTCTAATATATTTTAAAGAGTTGAAATAGTTATACAACAACATATGTGATTTTTCTATTATTTTATATTTTATATATTTTTTTCAAACAACCTGTATAGTACACAGGTATCGTATTAGTATAATCCTTACATTCCTTTATCCTGGTGTGTGTGCTTGGTAGGTGAATATCTCTAATGACTAATCTCTAGTATTTTTAATTCGTTACATTCCTTTGTACTTTTGTGCCATTGTGTGTGTGTGTTTGGTGAGTGAGTACTAATATACTAATATATAAACTAAGGATTTATCTTAAACAATTAGTACAATACTTTGTAGGTACTTATTAAAAAAAAAAATGTAAAATTAAATAATAATACGACCAAAAAATTAGTGTCTTTAATACAATCATCTTACAAAATTTAAATTCAATAGATTATTGATAATTGAGTATGATCGAGATAGAATTTTCAAAGATCTATATCGACAAATATAATTTTATTTTATTTTTATATTTGATTTATTTATTTTTATTAACCCATAAAAATAACATCTATCGAATAAAAACTCGGGACTTATTGGTAGAGAAATAGTTTAAACTCGGTACTTATTTGTAGAGAAATAGTTTTTGGCCATGTATTAGTTTTTAGAAAAATGATTCGATTGCAATCATAATAATTAAATCATTCACAAATATCCTCAAATTTTTGTTAGTAACTAGTTGTTATTATTTAATTTTTAATATTTAAATTAATTTGGATTTATTAACTTTAGTAAATTATCGCAAAAATAACTCTCATTTTTTGTTTGCAAATTATCTTCTCTTCGCAAATTATAACAATGTTAGTAGGATGTGGTTCAAATGAGAACTAAGTCTTAGCGTGAGAACCGCTATTTTAGTTGTATGTAGTGCTACGATTGATTGTGTTTAGTGCTATTTTTAACTAAGATGTATTTTATTAAAATTACAACACAACTTATATTTAGCATTTATGGAAATGATTACACCATGTAATATAAAAAATCGCATCATACACTATTAAAAATAAAAAAATAGCATTAAATATGGTTCTCACGGTTCTCAGACGAGAACTAATTTTTATTTGAACTAACTCCTATATATATATATATATATATTAATTTATATATATATATTTATTAATTTTTATAACATATTTTTTTATATTTAATAAAAGATGTAATATTGAAAATTCGCCTACTTATGCGTTTTTATACGTGAGGACCATCACGTATGGTGGCTACTCAGACATCATGGTGGCCGACGAGCATTTTGTCATCCGTTGGCCCAAGAATCTGCCTCTCGACATTGGGGCCCCACTCCTCTGTGCTGGCATCACCACTTACAGCCCGTTGAGGCACTTCGGGATGGACAAGCCGGGCTTGAATGTTGGCGTCGTGGGCTTGGGTGGGCTCGGCCATGTGGCCGTCAAATTCGGAAAGGCGTTTGGGACTAAAGTGACAGTCATTAGCACATCATTGAGCAAGAAAAAGGAGGCCATTGAGAATCTTGGCGCGGACGAGTTTTTGGTTAGTCATGACCCGGACGAAATGCAGGTTAAATATACTTGACAATTGAATTCGAAAAAAAAAAGGGAAAAATCGACTCAATTTTTGTTTTTATTTTAAGCTCCATACAAATTCAAACAAGTTTGAAACAAAATTTACTTGAATATTACAGGCTGCAAAAGGCACATTGGATGGAATTATCGATACGGTCTCTGTAGATCATCCAATCCCGCCGCTATTGAGTTTGTTAAAGCCTAACGGGACACTTATCATGGTTGGAGTCCCTGCAAAGCCTCTCGAGATTCCGGTTATGCCCCTTATTATGGGTTAGCTTAGTAGTTTCAATCGTCTTCGTTTTTTTTTTCTTTTCTTTGTGTGATGTATGTTTTGAATTATGAGCATCAACATTTTTTACAATGGGTTTTTCAAACAGGAAGGAAAGGAGTGTTTGGAAGTGCTATCGGGGGAATTAAGGAGACGCAAGAAATGATTGATTTTGCGGCCGAGCACAATATACTGCCGAATGTCGAGATTATCTCATGGATTACATCAACACTGCTATGGAACGTCTCCTCATGTCTGACGTTAAGTATCGTTTTGTGATCGACATTGCAAAATCTTTGAAACCCAAGTAGTCATTTGAGATTTGTAACATAGTGCAATTGGAATTTCGTCGTTGGTCTTTATTCGGTTGTTGTTTGAGTCAAGTTTCGATTGGCTGCATTTGGAATAAATGAGACTCTGTGCTACTTTGTTGTTTGTTTTATACTAATTGGTGGAGGAAATTCTGCAGAAAATTTGTTGTGGTATTTTATTTCTGTTCAAGTGCTCTGTGTTCCCATCTCCACACAAAACTGATCTTAAAGATGTTGCAAGTATTGAAACAATGTTTCTAGCAATTAGGCACCAACTAAATTTTTATTTGACGCGTTTCTAAAACAAATGATCCGTCCAAGAAAATAAAAACATGGCTTTGAAATATATGATAATACCTACAATTTCATATAAAATCACAATAAAGCATTAAGAAAAATTAATCTGGACGTAATCAATGTTAACACAATCCCCTCTCTACCCATGACCACGAACTAATATGCCTACTATTGAATTTGAACTTTGGAGAAGTCGAGAGAGAAAGAGAGAACTAGGGTTTGTATTATTTTGTAAAGAAAAAGTGATTACACAATGTGTGTGTCTTTACCCTTTTATACTTGGGCTACAAATATAAATATAGAAAAGATATAATAGTGATATTTACAAGTTAAGAAGATGTGCTATTATAAAATACACTTATGCTAAGAATCATTATTCTATTACCACCACAAAATGAACATGAATATTTTTCAGGATCATCTTAGAAGAGAGAAGTTGAAAGAGTTGTCCACCAATTGGTTCTGTAATAATATCAACATTTTGTTATGAAATTGGTAGGTAATGGAGTGTGATGACTCATTGGTCTATTTTATATGTGATGAAGTGACAATCAATTTGGAAGTGTTTTGATCTCTCATGAAAAATAGGATTTGTGGCAATGGAGATGGCTTGATTTTTTTCTTGTCAAATAATTATTATATAAATAACTGAAAAATTCAATAGAGAATAATCAATGTTTCAACGGACAACACTAGAACCAGAACAAATAGATCAACTCCCCTTGGATCTACACAGGCAACTAAGGGGGTACAACTCCTTCAATGAGATACACACAACTCCTATGGTGAAGCTTCAACGAGGTTTCTTGCAGCCTAGGAAGCCTAGGGTATCTTTTCAATGAGATACACACAATCTCGCTGAAGATGCGAGAGCCAAGGAATTCGGCAAAATGCTAGATTGATCCACCACATAAGAATGCAAGATTCTCAAAAATCTCCCCCACACTTAAAACAATGCAATGTTGGACTGTTGACTAAATGATGTGGATAGTTTATTATTATTACTATTCTTATTATTTTAGTATTTAAATATTTAGTGACTTGACGGACAACTTTTAGAGTTTTGGATGTCTTATTTAAAGGCCCCTCTCATTTGTTATTCAGTAGTTGATTTTGAATTACAATAAGATTTGTTTGGTGTTTATCGTGTTTGAGATTGAGATCTCATTCATATCCTACCCACTTGTACGCTTCCCTACATAAGTTAGTATCAGAAGTCAGCCCAATTCACGATGCTGTCGCGAAGACAAGATGCTGCAAATGACAGGCGTGTCGCCGCCATCTACAACCTGAGTCGCCGGACTGAGTGGTTTGCCCGCCGGCTCGAGACGATGGGTCGTCAGATTGCAGATCTGTCCGCGAAAATTGGGGATATACGTCTAACTATCCATACCATAGTTCGAGACAAGCAAACGTACCGTGACGCCGGCAACTGCGGCGTGCTCAAGGGAACTCACGGCGGACGTGGAAGCCGTTGTCTGGGCGGGGCGCTCCATCGGAGATCTCCACAACCACCGTCCAATACGAAGACGACGAGGAGGCAATCTCGGAGGTGAATCTCTTCGGTGATTATCCACCCCCGCACGCCGAGGTTGACCCGTTCATTGCATACGGTGGCCATGACATGCGGCGATGGGGCCCGGTCTTCGTGGACGGCGACGACCAATGCGACGATAGAGGCAGGCGCGATGAGGCTGCCTTCGCCGGCAGATATCATGCCCGACACGACTGGGGACTTGATTGCGAATATGGTCAATGGGAGGGCCGTTTCGCGTTGATATCCCCAAATTCGATAGTGAGCAAGATGACAGGCCATTGTACGATGGTCTGCCGATTTTCGATGAGGAGCCTCCGAGCCGAAGGATGAAGCTGAAACTGTTGCTATCAAAACCATTGCACTGGATGCGATTCTTGGTGACTGTATTGGGCAGTATAGAGAATTACATGGGTACGAGTCTAACAAATGTTTGACATATTTTAATTCATGTTTCATACCCCTTGAAGGCGCTGTTGCATCGGAATTTAAGAAATTTGAAGTAGCAGAGTTTGATATGCGGTTATATATATTGAAGCAGTTCAATGGTGCAAACTCCAATATCCAGAAAAGGGCAAAAGCTTTAGAAGTATTTGTATGGATTGGCTGAGTAACTCAAGTTGAGGAGATCAGAAGTGCCATTCGAGCAACCGAGTATTTTGTGGCTAGCCAAGGTACATCACAACATCTTTCAACCTTCGTATTTGACAGAGGGAAACGTCGGACTATTCCTGTCATGAGGGACGTCTCCAACGAGAACGGGTCAGATTCGAGGGTAAATCATGTTCAATCGGTGGAGAATGATGTGGATAGTTTATTATTATTACTATTATTATTACTATTTTAGTATTTAAATATTTAGTGACTTGATGGACAATATAGCTTTTAAAGTTTTGGATGTTTTATTTAAAGACCACCCTTCTTTGTTATTCAGTGGTTGATTTTGAATTGAAATAGTATTTGTTTGGTGTTTATAGTGCTTGAGATTGAGATCTCATTCATATCATTCTCACTCGTACGTTTTCCTACATCACTAAAGTTAATAAGGTTAAAATTGTCATTTTATCCATTGGAATGGCTTATTTCATTTTATTCCCTAACATAGCCATTAATCATTTTTTGTTTTAAAAAATGCAAAAGATAGGGCCACCGTATAATTTATATTTATTTACTGTTGAAATGTTGGACTGTTGACTGACCATGACAATAAAACGAAGTTTCGATGATGACCATTCACTAATTGGGTAACAACAATTAAATTTGTTGCTTTTTTGAATATTACTAACATTCAATGACAAATTTCCAACGGCAATGTTATTTTATAACAATAGTTAAGTCGCCAGGTTTGATTTTGTTCAGAACACTTGCGTAAGCCATGATGCACATGTACGTACAGGCAAATTTCCTATGGCAATTTCATCTCAAAACTGCTATAAATACCTCCATCTCCATAGCTTGTCTTTATATAGTTAAAGACCTATTTATTTATAATTTAATTTGGCTCTCAAATTTCACTGGAAAATGGCGAAATCATATGAAACAGAGCACCCTGTGAAAGCTTTTGGATGGGCCGCCAGAGATACGTCTGGGGTTTTCTCTCCTTTCAAGTTCTCAAGAAGGTTGCATATTTCTTATGAATGAATATACATCTTATATGGGTTTGTTTTTTTTAATTTATAAAGATGTTTTCTTTTTTATTTTTCTTTGTTGTGTGATTGATTGGTTATACAGAGAAACTGGTGAACATGACGTGGAGTTCAAAGTTATGTACTGTGGGGTTTGCCACTCGGATCTTCATATGGCCAAGAATGAGTGGGGATACACTCAGTATCCAATTGTACCTGGGTAATTATTTTTATATATTCATTACATATTTACATTCCTTTATCCTTGTGCACGCGTGTTTGGTGAATATATAAGAGTTTATCTAAAATATAACAAAATTTTTTCCTAAAATTTATATTTTTACTATTTCTATTTTGGTTATTTAAAAAAAAATTATTCCACTTTTAAGTAGATAGAATTTCATTCTGAATTAGTTTTCCATTGCATGTTACACTACCAAAAATTGTTATATTCCAACGGAAAATCTTATGGTAATATATTCCAATGGTATAACTTCTGTTAGAATGATTTCAACGGAAATATTCAGTTGGAATGTGTCCATTAAAATTTTAGATAAAATTTAATGATTCCAACAACTATATTTCCAAAGGCTTTTCACCGTAGGAATTTATGTTGGAATATGCAATTTCTGTTGGAATTTTTATTTCCACCCGTTGGAATCGTAAAAATCCAACGGAAATTCCAATGGAAAATTTATTCCAACATAATATTTTTGTTAGAATTTCCGTTAAGATCCATTGAAAATTTCCAACAGAAATAATAGCATTGAAAAATATCCATTGAAATTACCGTTGGAATTATATTTGAATATATTTCGGTTTGAAATTTCATAAGTTTCTTGTAATGTTATCTGAAAAATAGTTTCCTAAATACAATCATCTTACATAATTTAAATTCAGAGTACTACTAATAAATATATCGATAATTTTAATTTTATTTTATTTCTATATTTGTCATTATTTATTTTTATTAGCCCACAAAAATCACATTTATCGGTTAAAACTCTAGACTTATTTATAGAAAAATGGTTTTTCGTCATGTATTAGTTTTTAGAAAAAAAATTATTTCAATCATAATAACTAAATCATTCAGAAATATCCTCGAATTTTAACTAATTGTTATTAGTTAAATTTTAGTATTTAAATAATTCTGATTTATCAAATTTCAAAATTTAATAAGTTATTATGAAAATATTTATCTCATTTTCCGTTGGCAAATTATTTTCTCTTCGCGAGTTATAACAATGTTATATATATATATACATATGAATTTTTATAAAATATTTTTTTATTTAATAATAGATGTAATATTGAAAGTTCGCCCCCACAATATTAGATGCGTTTTTAGTCTTTGCTAGACATGGTGCACATGGTTGGTGCGGTGCTGCTAGCAAGAGAAAGTCGAACAATCTTCTAACAAAATCTGAATCGTTGCTGTGTTGCTGCTACGTTTTTTTTTTTTATAAAAAAAAAATACTTTAACGAATGTTTTGTTAATGGTTTTTTTTTAATACTTGAATGATGGAATGGAATCTTTTACCAAACATTTTGTTAAAGGTATATTTTTCACAAAATATATTGTCTATTTCATCTCAAATTTTCTCTACAAATTTCACTAATACAATTAAAACTAAAAATAGTAATTATTATGTATTTCCAAAAATACTACTATTAATTCACACTTATATTTCAAACTCTAATCTTATTAATTAATATTTTATTATTTTTATATCATAGCAGTTTTAATTATGATATGATATGATATCCTTTCAAAATCTAATATTTATCTCATTTTTAAAAAGAAAAAATATTATCTTTTTCCACCTTGTCAAAAAGATAAATTTATTTTCTATTTTAAGATAATGTCATAGCTAATAGCACCTAAATGGTGTGGAAAAGAAAAGGTCAGACTATCTAGTTTAATCAACAAATGTTTTGTTTATGGTTAAATAACGTGGAAAGGAAAAAGGTTAATAATTCGTGATTTGAGTGGCTAATAAATACAATTTACTTTTCATTCATGTTGGGCCCCATGCGCTCGTGTGAACAGCTTGCAACATCATTAGTACGATATTGTTCAAGAAAAATGTATTTATAAAATGTGGGAGTTTTTTTATGTTTTTTACCCACCGAAGCAATAATCATATAGCATAACACTTATATCTTTTACGGACTCTTAACATGTTTCATACTTTCTAGCCTATCTTCAGTAACCAAATACATTTGTTTATAGCTTATTTGGTAGTATATGTTTAGTAATTAAATAAACTAGTTTATAGCTTATTTGGTTATCTTATAAGTTTTTTATATTGAAATAAGTTTCTTTTATTAAACGAGTCTTTTCAAATTTTACCAAATAACTATATCATATAAATTAGTTTTTCAACAATAAGTCATAAGCTACAAGTTATAAGCTCGAAAATCACTTATCAGCTATAAGTTAACTTATCAGCTGTCAGTTAGTTTATCAGTTAGTTTTATCAAACATACCCATAAACTAAAGAATGAATGATTGGACACAGGCACGAGATTGTGGGGGTCGTAACCAAAGTGGGCCCCAAAGTCGAGAAATTCATGGTCGGCGACAAAGTCGGTGTCGGGTGTATGGTCGGATCTTGCAGGCAATGCAACCAATGTGCAAACGGTCTCGAAAATTACTGCTCGAAAGCAATACAAACGTACAGTCAGACTTACGTGGATGGGACCATCACGTACGGTGGCTACTCGGACATCATGGTGGCCGACGAGCATTTCGTCATCCGTTGGCCCGAAAATCTTCCCCTCGACATTGGGGCCCCACTCCTCTGTGCCGGCATCACCACTTACAGCCCGTTGAGGTACTTTGGGCTCGACAAGCCGGGCTTGAATGTGGGTGTCGTGGGCTTGGGTGGGCTCGGCCATGTGGCCGTCAAATTTGCAAAGGCGTTTGGGACTAAAGTGACCGTCATTAGCACGTCGTTGAGTAAGAAAAAGGAAGCCATTGAGAATCTTGGCGCGGACGAGTTTTTGGTTAGCCGTGATCCGGACCAAATGAAGGTAACTATACTTAGAAATTTTTTTAAATTTTTTTCTTTTTTTTTTGAAGGTCCATAAAAAGTCAAACAAGTTTGAAAGAGAATTAACTTGAATATTACAGGCTGCCGAAGGCACATTAGATGGAATTATCGATACTGTCTCGGCAGATCATCCAATCCCGCCATTATTGAGTTTGTTAAAGCCTAACGGGACGCTTATCATGGTTGGAGCCCCTGCAAAGCCTCTCGAGATTCCGGTTATGCCCCTTATTATGGGTTAGTTTAGTAGTTTCATATCGTCTTCGTTTTTTTCTTTTTTTCCATGGATTTAAAATCTCTATGTGTGATGTGAGTTTGGAATTATGATCATCTACATTTTTTACAATGGGTTTTTCAAACAGGAAGGAAAGGAATGTTTGGAAGTGCTATCGGGGGAATTAAGGAGACGCAAGAAATGATTGATTTTGCGGCCGAGCACAATATACTGCCAGATGTCGAGATGATCTCTATGGATTACATCAACACTGCTATGGAGCGTCTACTTAAGTCTGACGTTAAGTACCGTTTTGTGATCGACATTGCAAAATCTTTGAAACCCGAGTAGTCATTTGAGATTCGTAACAAAGTGTGATTGGAATTTCGTCGTTGGTATTTATTCAGTTGTTGTTTGAGTCAAGATTCGGTTGGCTGCATTTGGAATAAATAAGACTCAGCGCTACTTTGCTGTTTGTTTTATACTACTTGTTTCATTATGAATTTTGGATATATTATGCAGTTCTGTGTCTCATTATTATGTTTGTTTCATTATGAATTTTGGATATGTTATGCAGTTCTGTGTCTCATTATTATGTTGATGAGTCTGTTGAGACCATAGAAGCATTATCACTAATTTTTCTTGCCACCCCTTAGTTATAAATATCCACTAACATATGTTAGGTTGGATGGAATTGTAATTTTATAGCAATAATAAGCGAAAAATAATTTAATTTCAAAAATCAATCCAATGTTTCAGAGTCGAAACAAAGCACACTTTTAACAGTTTTTCGCCTTTGAATCTCATGACAATCTATCTATTGTGGCGCAAATGTAGGTAAATATAATGACACATTGCACCTTACACTGTCTAAAAGTCGAGGGATCCTGTCTTCGAAGACCCAGAACAACTTCCAGAGGAAGCATAAGAAGTACCACTTGAACCATCCACAGGGGCTTGGTTTAGGCATTCCAAAATCAACATTCTTCGTTTTTGCAGTTTCATTGAGAATGTTGTTGCCTCCAGAATAATCGGGACCTGATTAAAAATAATCAGCCATAGGTTATAGTATGATTATTTTCGGAAAGATAAGTGCTGGTTTAAGAGTAAACTGCAAAAACTAAGAAAAGGTTGAACCTTAAAGATAGTTTTTGGAATTTCATCCTACTTTTCTAGTCGACTTTTTCTTGGTGAGGTGATTGGTGTTTCTAACTAGAAGCACGTCATTAAAGTACCTGTGTATTAATACGAGCCACTTTGTGAACGCTAAGAAGTCCAACCATATCCTGATATCCTGTAAGAAGCTTAGCTAGTTCCTTGTCTTCATCTGAGAGAAGTACAAAATCACAGATCATGTTTTGAAGGGATAATAGTTTTGCCCAAAAGGTGTATTGTTGCAAGGAAAAACAAGGAGGGAAAGAAGATTTGCGCACCTGGAATTGCTTTCACAGAAACTAAGGTGTCAGCCAAATGCTGCAGCCTTTTCGAGAAATTTGTTGAAACAAGTGAAGGTGGATAGGTTATAATGGCTACCGCATTCGACAATCGTAACATATTTTTTAGAGATCTTACAAAAGAAAGTATTTCCCACTCCTACAAAAAAGAAAATGTAATTAAATAGACAAATACGAAGGTATGGTACTAGGATTCTTCAGAAGGCAATACAGTTTAAAAGATGGAAAATGCTACATGTACATCAAGATGGAAAATGCTACATGTACATAGAGGTGTACATAACACTCACATGTAGTGGGGTCTACTTGATTTTTTATTTTTGGTAGGTCCACTCAATGTGAGTGTTATGTACACCGTTATGTACAATATTATGTACCTATAGCATTTCTCTTAAAAGATACAGTGGCTAGAGTTAGGAAGTATTTGCAATCCAAAGATAAAAAGAGAGGGAAAAAAAAAAGATAAGAAAGAAAGGAGAAGAAGACTGAGTAAAAATAATAGGAAGATTTCAGGTAGGAAAAAAAAAAAATATATTGGTGTTTCCAAAGCACTAGTGTATGCAAACACCTCTCAGAATTGGCATCAGATAATGGGGAAATGTTCACATGCCCACGGTGGGCACATGTTAATATGCCCACCGACTTATGTGGCATGCACTACAAATAAAAATATCCTAAGGCCTTGTACAACATTAGAAAGTCGAATGAACCTCAAATTATAAACTCAAGACACCGAAGACAACTAGTTACCTTGTTTGAATATTCGCACTGCGGAGAACACAGTGACTGAATAGCAATTCGAATACCTCTTATGTTCCCAGTGTTCCTGAGGAAACAAATAAATATAAATAAATATAACATGTGATCTCAATGAGACTCCCAAAATTACTGCCAGATGTACAGGGTCAACATTTAGTAAAAACAAATGACAGCCAAGTTCATAAACCAACCGAAGTAAATTCTCTGGGAATGTTATCTTCTTATTTAAAAGGGCTACTCACCACAATGGGTCATTCACTGATATCATAAATCATAGTTAACTATATTAATAACTTTAGTGCGTTGGGTACGCTAATGTAAAAGGCACACTACCGAGGAACTTGAGGTAAGAAGCTCGAACATCGTTCTTGAAATGTAGCTAAATCTGAAGAATTTCTAAGGCTCACGCAATCAATATTTTGTCCACTAAAGAAGTGCCTCTCCAAGGGCTTCCGCAAATCAAAGTCACTACAATATTCTGACTTTCCATCTGCATATAGAATAAATGATAACATTAAGATTAAAAACTTCAAGAATCACTCCTGGGGAAAATAAACAATTTAAGCAAAGAAATGTATCAAGGTAGGACCAACACAGCGCACAAAAAAGGCATCCGCAGGTATCTCTAAGTAACGATAAAATCCACCACCCACAAAATTCTTATAAAAGAAAGCTTATGTATTGTGTCTAATTCTGCTTTTAAAAGCATATTAGCTTTCAGTTTATATCAAATAATCAATAATTAAAAATGAACATTAGGCACATGACATACTGCTACTCCGTTTATTCAGAGAATACAGATTTCATAGCTTTTACCTCTCTGAGACTCTAAATTATGTTCCCCGAAATATTTCTTGTATTGCCAAGCAATTCTCAAACCCTTATCCTGCAATTAAAAACAAATCAGATTCTGTTTCAATCTGTGGGCACCTCCTAAATCAAACACATAACTGAACTTGTTCAATTTGTAGAAAACCCATACCCAAACCCCACCTGCTCTGTTTCATGGACATGAGACTTATCATCCTTCGAAGTCATCGGATTAGGCAAAGTACCAAGAAACCCTCTCGGATCATTTGCGGGGCTCCCGTACACAAGTGGCTGATGGTGAACAAGTCCTTGAGACATAAAATTTCTCAACAACAACATATGATGTGGCGCCTCAGGGTCTTCCATAACCATCACAAGACTCCCCAAAGCAAACCCACCACCCAAAATTTCTATTGTCACATAAAAGAAAGAATATGAATTGTTTCTGAAGTAATGAATAATAAACATAAAAAGGAATTTGGTTTATAATAAGTGCAAGTGACGTTACTGTCGAAATCCGGGATGCCGGATGAGAGGAACATGGTCCCATTAGGGCCATGCTTAAGACCAGGAATTTGTGACACCGTATTAGAAGCAGAAAGGTTGCGTGAGAAACTGCCAGCCCGAGGTCGAGTAGCAGCCATGAATGAAATTCACCGAGCTGCTATTTATCCCTGGTACAATAAGTAGACTATGAATACATGCTCTTGAAAAAAGAACATTTTAATTTGGAAAAGAATACGCGATGCAGCACGGTACTTCTCAGGGGAATTTCATCGAACACCTGATGTGCCACCAACTTAGTTCCATTTTTCAAAATAGAACTTGGCATCTAAGAACAGTAAAGGGAGTATTTCGGGGGACAGAGAAGTGAGAATTTGAACCTTTTGCTCAGGCTTGAAATTTGTTTCAGTTATTTAAACTTTTGATTCTTTGGCGCGTCCGCGAAAGTTGAAAGAACCCACGCCAAGATCGTTGAGGCCGGGGAAAATGAACTGTGTGTTGTGGACCTGTGGTTGGCGTGGTAATTACGAAAAATACCCTTTTCTCCAATTACGAAAAGTTCCAACTTCCACGTAACAACAATATTGTTAATGGCAGATTTTAATCACCCTTTCGTAAATTAGTGTAGTTGATAAGTTATGTGATAGTTTATAAGTAAATTTTGAATTTATAGTTAAACTTAATTGATAATTGATAAGTTAGTTGATAATTTATAAGTAAATTTGAGCTTATAGTTGATAGTTCATGACTATGATTAAAAAGTTAGCTTATATGATAAAAGTATTTGGTATAATTAGTTGATAAGCTAATCCAAATAAAAATTTCAAAACGATCTTATTTGAAAAACTACTCGAAGAAACTTAATAGATGACATAAGTTCGAACTTTTTTACTTTTAAACCAAGCTTATTTGAATACGTGAAACTTGTAAGCTAACCAAATAAGCTATAAGCTAGCTTATGGTGCTTATCAAACACACTCTATTGCACCTAATATCACGACTTTTTTTTTAAATTGCATTTTAGTCACGATCTTTTCACTATTACATATTAATTCAGTTTGTTGTGAACGACGTCGTTCTCGTCTGAGATGGGAAAAAAAAAAGCAAATGGTAGTTACACATCAGAAGTGAGGTGGAATTTCTTCGGCCAGATAAGCTTTACTAGGCTGATTTTTAGAACTCGTGGACCAATTTACAATTAACTGAAGGTTGTGATTTAATTTCTATAAGTATAAAGGTCGTGATTAAAATGCAACTATGTAGTAGGCTCGCACGCTTCATAACTTATTATAAACATTCAACTCAAAAATTCATCGACATGTCTGAGCTTTAAAAACGAACAAATCATGCGCATACGTCCATAACAATGGATTAAACTACTACAAAACCGAGTTATGTGAATATATTATCCAGGTCACTAGGGCATAGCGGAACACAATTGTGGTTGAGGCCGTAGCTCAAGCTTGAGCACCAAATTGTCTGAAGAGACCCAAATTGTTGTGGACGTTGTTAGTAGTTTCCTTACTATATTGGGCATACATCATCCTATATTATATCTCATTTTTTTTAACTATCATAATAGAAGAATTTTACAATAAAAAAATTCTTTCCATTCCCAAAAAAAAAATAAAAAAATGATTTTATATAAGAATCCATTAGCAATATATGAAATCGGTTAATTAATTTGAAAATAAGGGTCCCCAAGATAAAATGGTAGTTTGTTTTAGTCTTGGGAGAAAATAGTGAAGAGCCCCAGTGGCCGTCCAATAATTGACTGAGATACCTTAATTACAAACTCAGACCTCTACAGAACTATGTAAGAATCATATATAGAAGGCCGGTGACTGGTGAGACTACACAAAACACAAACATTTTCTGGACATTACAGTGTGTGTTATTTGTGTGTGAAGTTCTGTCACGGGGAACCCACCCCTCTCCTTTCTCACGAGATATATGATATGACATCCACTTTCTCTAGCATTATGAACTGACCTTTTTTTGGATTCAATTAATGATTCTAAACCAGTTTTTCACTGTTAGGGTTCTCAACAATTTTGAGATGCACATCATAAATTAAATTTCAATATATGTGAAGGGATTTTGTAGATGAAAATTGTAAAAAGTAAACTGGTGGTAAGTATATTTCATAGTCAAACAATTATTGGTGATTTATTGGAATGTGATGGGGTAAATAGTAAATTTGTAAGAATTGTTTAATAATGGCGAGTGAGTAGTAAATACTTTTTCCATGAGCATGCAACTCAAGTATCTATATGATCACCCAGTGAAAGAATGTTGATATAGAAATCGGAACACCAGGATACATAGCTCGATTTGATACTACTAATTTAGTGTTGAATGACATTGTTTAACTTAACTATTATATGGGTCGACCCGGCAGACAAGTACCAGTCAATTTTGCACCATTCATTTAAATTTAAGATTTTATTGTACTGTATATTTACTATCAGAATTTTACTATAAAGTGGTCTTTATCGCGTTTAACTAGTAGTTATACAATAATTTGATGTATTTATATGAAATATTGATAAAAAAATAAAAATATTATTAAGTTTTAATATAAAATATACTTATTATTTAAATAGATATTTTCTTTTATACTATATTTTTATAAGTACTAATAGACATGATAAAAGCCCAAATTTATATGGACACGAAGCACCGAGCATGAATCGACACATACGATCCAAAGCGTGAGACACTTATGTAGTTATGTTTGATAAACTATACTTAAAAAAATAGAATTGACAAATCAAAACGTTGGAAAAAGAAAATAAGTAACATGGTAAAATTTTGGTGATGACCGATGATATATGGGAAGTGAAAGGGACGTAACATAAGCAGCGAGGGACAAAACTGTAATGCTTCTTAAACCCTTCGTCTGCTGTTGTATGCCACTTCTGCTACATTCCAACGGGGTTACCAACAATATTTTGAATTAATAATTATCCTGGATAAAAAAATAGCTAAATAACAATAATATTAGCTCTATTATATTGATAAAATTAACCTTAATGGTTGATATAGATGTGGAATAATTTTTTTCATTTATTATTTGGGAATGCAATAGTGATAGTAATTAAGTTCGAGTTTCCTAAATCAAATTTATAGAAATTCAGACATGGTACACTAAGTTTATTGTTTGAACTTGAACAGAGTAAATGACAAATTTCATTAAATGNATGGACCAAAAGTGTGCATGCATCAACATAAAGGTTGTATCAAGTTGTTTTCATACATAGCTCTCTGTGGGCCTAATTAAATTTTCAGTATGGCTCATATTTTTGTCCCTCTCTATCTCTTTCCTATTAACTATCATTATCATGCAGTTTTTTTTTGTACATGTAAATCCTTCCATTCCCTCCTCATCCCATTCTATCAGTTCAGTTCTTGTTTGTCCCTTATGCAACCGCCTACTGAATTAGTTCTTTAATTAGTTACTAAACAAAAAGAAATACATTTACATGTATGTCAATATTGAGGTTCAATTTAATGATAGTTAATAGTAAATAATTAAGAACGAATATTTACTGGTCATGTCAATTAGTAAGAGAACATATGAATATTACACTTTCATTTATATATTTTTTAAGTTTAAAAGTATGTATACTTATAAGAAAAGTATGCATGATTGCTTAATAGTTATTGGTGTGTGTCATCTATAAAAGAAATGGTGTTTATTTTGTAAATATAAGAAAATAAATAAACATATAACCCATTACCCATCAACATCCTCTCTCTCATGATTGTCCACAACTTATATCAACCAAACTCATGCATGAAATGAAACCTATGAATTCCTCCTCTTCCTCACTTCCTCTGCTCTCCCCTTAACAAATCCAACTTCAAACAACTCTAATCTCTCTCTCTCTCTCTCATTCTCTTCTCTTTCTCTCTAGGGTTTAATTCCCTTCTCTACCCCTAAACAATGACCCCACCCGCCCCAAAGCACCAATCCAAGACCAACC